TTGGTGGAGATATTAAAAATTACCTGAGCTAATAATTCCTACAGCCTGTTGGTACATGTCAGCTGCTTCAGGAGTCCAACAAGCTAAGCCAGCTTAGAAGGCCTCTTTCTTTAGGCTGACAGCTCCCTTTAAGGCTGGTGTCCACCACCAGGTTCAGGGATTGCCACCGCGACTGGCACCAACAACAATATGGCCATATCTCCGCACAGATACCTCAGCAACAGAGGCCTGGAACATGGCTTATTCAGTACCCAGTTTCCCTCACATGGACAGCAGTTTCTGCCAGACGCTCCCAGCACACCCCCACTATACATTTTGGTGTATCAGGTCTATATGGCATCTTCCCCCACCATCTGATCCAGCTCACCACCAGGTGGTGATCAGTTGACAGCTCAGCTCCTCTCTTCACCTGAGTATCCAAAACATGTGGTCATCAAGGTCATCAAGCTGCGGCCTAGGGTGTCCTGGTGCCAAGTTAGCATTTTTCGATAAAATGGTCAGAATAATTGTGAATGAGTGTCACGTCCCTCCTTGCAGCCCTCTCGTGTGCCATGGCCACCTCGTTACCCGCGTGTGTATTCCCAATGATCCAGCTGTCCTGCGTGCATTCTGATGTCATGTCCTGTATTCAAGTCCACGTTCAGTCTGTCTTGTTAGATCTGTCATTGATATGTGTACCCCAGTGTTGTGCGTTCATTGCCTTCTGTCCTGCATAAACCTGCCTTTTGGATATCTGGCTCCTGGAATTGCTTCCCTGCTCCCCGCTCACACAACGACACACCACCGATCATCACAATGAGACATATAAAGATGTTATGGATTAGACCAAAATTTCTGTATAATTTACATTTAAAACAATTTAAAAAGTGGCAGAATGTTTCTATGTAAGTTTTTTTATTCTACTTCCTACTTCCTGAATTACAAGAAATTCCAAGAAATTTCATGAAATTTCAAGACTCGTGAATTTTTCATGCACACTATTCCCATCAGTGGAATCAAATTCACCATTTAAAAGATACATTTGTAACATGTCATGTAATGAGCCATAGCAAAGAATTTCATTTTGTCATTAAAATATTTGTTGCTTTCTTCTTATTTTCTGGCTTTATCAAGTGTCATAAATCACAGTATAAAACAAGTGTTCTTGCGCATGCATTGTCCAAATCGGGCTTTTGGTCAGAAGTATATGGAAGTGAGTACGGAAAACTCAAAAGTGACAGAAGCAATGAACAAAGTGTCCTGACCCCAAACAAGGCTCTACAGTAGCTGTTGGAGTGTGTGTTAACACGATTAAAAATAATAATGTGTTATTATTTGAAAATTAACGTTGAGTTTGCGATTGTGTATTTTTGATCATATTTGTATGCTGGTTTTGCCCTGACTTTCCCTGGTATTCCTGTAGGCCTAATGTGTGTGCAGAACAGGAGCTCTCCCTGATGGGCCTGCACCAGCCATGCATACAGGCATTTACACGCATGGCAAAGGTTTGGAAGCAGGGCTGCCCTGGGCACCGCTGGTGTTTCAGCTATGAACGGAGGTGAGAGACATTTTAAGACAATTTGTCATATATGTGTGTCACATTTTCCGAATCACTGTATGTACATGCACAGGATCATTAATGCAGAGCACTCATATGTAATGTAACATTTTGGTTCTATAGGACAGGGTACTACATGACCTACAAACAGGTGTACAGCATGGGTGTTCACACTGTATATCGGTGCTGTCCAGGGTGGTTACAACATGCTGAGGAATATGGATGCTTGCATCGTAAGTAAAATTGATTGTTCATGCATTGTATTGTGCCTTATAACCCCCCCCCCCCCACAGTTGACAAAATGTCTCACTCAGCAAAAGTTATCATCCCCCTCCCCCCACCCTTGACTGTGGGGCCATGAGGGACCACAAAGTCCTGGGCTGAATTTTTTATCCCAGTCCTGCCCTGTGACAATACTTTATGTAATAATGCCGCATTATGTAATAACTCGACATAATGTAACAAATTGAATGATAGTGATAATAATGATGATAATGATGAGGATAATAATAATAATAATAGTAATAGGGTAATGCTCCAATCCAAAATGATGATGTAGTCTATAAAATTGTAACATTTTGTCGAATTTTTACATAAGGTGGTGTTTTTACATAATGTATTGTTACATGGTGTGTGACAATGCATTATGTAATAACATTGCATTTTGTGATTTTGTTACATTTTGTTGAGTTATTATAAAATGCAGCATTATTACATGACTTGTAAAAGGCCCTGATTACAACAGAAGATCTACAATCCATTATTTGTATCTGGAGAAAAACAGCTGGGGTTGAACATAATCCAGGACTCCTTCACATTGTTTACGTTTTATATTCATAGAGCAATACGGAATGAGCATTTTCTGAATCTCAGTGAGAGTTGCTATGGTTTGTGTTTGAATATTCTGTACTGCACAGGGAGATGTTCTGTAGGGACTTGTTTCAATGGGGGCCAATGTGCCAGCAGCGGATCTCAGCTGTGCCAGTGTCCAGAGGGATTCCAGGGCCTACACTGCCAGTATGGTGAGTCCTTGTGTTGTGGGTCCCAGATGCCACAATAGCCATTAGTCTTAGTCCGAAGGTAAAACATATTCACTTTCACAACATTACACATCATTTTCTGAAAGTGGAACTGAGCATTTTTCCCTGTGTAGGGAATATCTGGACCACTCACACACACACACACACACACACACACACACTGTCTTTCTGGACACCTTGCCTGTACTTTTAAACTGCGGCTTCAAAGTGCACAACTCAGGAACGGTGCCACGGTCTCCTCATGCATTTTATATTCCTGGAAAGCCCTCTTAGTTTTCTATAACAATCCCACTGAAATTATGTTGTCTATTCATTCATTTATTTCTAAATTATGTGCTTAGATGTGACTTGGGTGACAACCACCTGCTTTATTCTTGGCAGCTTTCACATAGTATCTTCATTGGAATTATGGTGCTCTGGTAGTACTATATATGGAGTTTATAAATTTGCAACAATAGTGTGGTGGCACTGCTGGTTTGTAGGTGGGGCATACAGGCACAAGTCCTCCAGCAGAGATAACAATTCGCCTCGACTTTTTTGTTTAGTCCACATTGAAATTTTGTTGCTTCCATTTTATATGATTTTTTTAAAGATAGGAACTGAGGATCTGTTTTTTTTTTTTTTTGCATTTACTTGCTCCTATGTGCTCTTTCACAGGGGTGCAGGAAGCGGGGGGCAAGAAAGGGATGTGTACCCCCAATACTAGGGGTGGGCAGAACATTGGTCTCATAGCTATTACCGGTGTGATTGTCTGCTTCGATTTAGATTTGCAATATACCAGTAACTCCACGAGAAGTCTAAAGCCTAATTATACATCCTATTTATAAAAAAATAACGCATTTTATTTCTTTAAAATATTCATTTATACACAAATAGTATATGTAACCCGTTTATCTGCGTTGTGTGAATTTTCTATTAAACGGACTCCGACAACCCCTTTGGTTTGCCCTAATGGGCCGTTGGCATTAACAGTAGCGAATCTAACACCGTCAACCAAAGAGCCATAATGTTCCTAACACAGTGACTGCTAAGTCCTTAAATCGTAAAGCTGAAAAGCTGTCAAGTTTTCAGACGAAGTATTTAAAATGGTGGATGAAATAGACGTAGTTTATTGCTGATTTCATGCATGTTCATCAAAGTTTATGTTTTTTAACAACTGTATAAACTAATGTTATTTTTATACAAATCAACTCAGGTGATACAATAAAAAAAAAACCATACGTTTTCAGGGCTGCCAACTTTCAGGCATATGGCGAGACTTTCTTATTCCATTATAAACCTGAAATTAGCTACATCAAAAACATTGGGGTAGTTTGCAAACCCTCCAGACTATTCACAAGGTAATACAACTGTTACATACATGTAAATGCATGTGTATGTGCCTGCAGAATTGTCTCGAACTGAAAATCTCACTCCAGCCTGCTGACCAAAGTTGGCAATCCTGCATTTTATTTGAAATGAACTGTAAAATGCATGTTTTCGGCTGAACCAAAAAGTGAAAAATACCCCTCAATACCAAACTCTCTCCCATGCTGTTGCACAGATATACAGTGGTACCTCGGTTCTCGAACTCACTAGAACTCGAATTTCTTGAAAGTCGAACAAACCAGTTTGACCTAGAACTCGATCTGAATATCAGAAGTCGAACCATGATCGCTGACCTAATATAAATTGTACGTGCCAGGAAATGAGTCATACTACAATGCAATTCTTATTTGAATGCCTTCTTCACAGACTGTACGATTAACCAAATAAACTAGCGCAACATTACAGTAACTAACAATAAATAAACCACTAACTTACGTGTACTATTATATGGAGGGCTAAGAGTGCCAAAATTAAATAAATAAATACACCAATAATTAATTAATTAAATGTGTCATGAATTATTTAAAATGGGAAATAAAAATAT